CCCCAAAACCCCAAAACCCCAAAACCCCAAAACCCCAAAACCCCACGACAATATTATATCATTGTTAATATAAATTACTATAAATGGAGCAGGTTGTAAACGGTATGCTAAGTTTGTCAGGATGCAAGGGTGACTCTCTTCCGTCGTCCTTGCTTTTCATTTTAGATAAGCAACAATTTTTACAGTTAATTTTTAGGTGGGCTGGTAAATTTTGAAATTTTTGGATATTAGCTCCATTTCAGATCATTATACCACAGGAAATTTTCCAATAAAATTCCTGCTCTAGTGTAATCATCTGCTTTTTAAGGTGCTCAAAGATAAAATTTAATAAGCAACCTATAATATACCTGAATGTGTTTATTTTCTAAATTAAGACTATCTTAGTCTCCAATAATGACTCATCTCTAAAACTATAGACGAGGACAAGCTCACCTCAAAAGGGCTGTCGAAACGATCAAAAGTAAATAATTCAACTTACTTTTTAGGCTAACGTACTTAGTACAAAAAGCTTCCGATACAAACCAAACTCTAAAGCTTTCAAGAAAGGGAAAAAATCAAATAGAGGTATTCAGAAGTTAGCTTCCTATAAGAACCCTCAGAAGCTTTCTTTTGAGAATCAGTACTTCCTTTCTTAACTCAAAATAGCAATGAGAGGATGCCTTTTGGGAAGCCAGCTTTGCAGCCATTTCACAAAAGTTTTAGGTCGAGTAAGGAGCTCAATCTCGGTAAGAATCTATACACAATTTCTAATAGATTCTAACCAAGAAGAGACAACTACGATTGAATCTAAAAATACTATGAAAAGCAGGTCAAAAAATACCAGAAATATCTCTAATCCTAAAAATGACAAACTGAAGCTCTAGATTCGGACTTGAATATCTCAAAAGGACCTAAGAAGACAATGAAGCAGCTTAGATCTATCATTGATAATAATCTGAATATGAGGAGTCCCATCAGTGGTATCAGAAATGGAGAGAAGTCTTATGAATCTAGGAATCAAACTCTTCGAGACAAGAATAACACTGTTGAACCACACATGATCAAATTTCATAACTCACAAGTTCTTGATAATCTCGTCAGTGCAAAGAGATTCGTAAGCACATGCCTTAACCTTACAGCCTGGGAAGAAAATTAGCCAGAATTCATTAGATAGAATTAAAGAGCAATTACCTCTGGTATTTATTGGCTAATTCTATTTAGGCTAAGAATACCAAAGAAAATATTTCTGAACGTCAACTCCCTGTTATTAAGCCACTTAAAATTCCTTCCTCACAAGTTTTAACAAAGAACTTTCAAGAAAGGAGTAAAAAATCTAACCTCTCGTTTGGATTTGAGAACACCTTCCGCAGAAGGAAAAGAGAACTGGGTAACAACTCCAAATCAGGCAAGAGTAAAAAGAAAGAATTTAACAAATCAGCGATGATAAAAGGACAGAGCGTAGAGAGTCTTCCTAATTCTTCATATCTAAATACTTTTGCAAAGGATTCTTCAAAGAAAGGTGAAAGCACTAGAGCAATATCCATCAAGGATACTATGGATATCAACACAAACCATAGATTCGGGATGTCTTCTCTACCAAAACAAGTCAGTTTAAAATAATGCTAAATCAGATGCTATTAGTGGCAAAGAGAAGTTTAAATTTAACCCAAGAATAAAATCTCCTTACGATCGCTTCAAGAGCACTAGGAATACAGAAAGTACCGAAATTCTGTTAATATTATAGAGTTGAACAAATATTTCACCCTTGATGGGAATAGCCAGACTAAAGAGATCAGCGATATTCAGGATGCTGAGAGTATCCACTCTATGCCAAGAAAATACTGAAGGAGTAAACCACCTAGCCAAGGTGGTGATATGATTGAGAAATACGAAGTTCGAACAAAGTGAGGCCTTGCAGCTCCTTGTAAATTGTTCAAATAAAATTTAGCTTCCAATACAAAGAAAGTCAACCAAGATTCATTTATTGTTAAGCAGAAGCTCTGTGATGAGAATGGAACATGGATGCTAGCTGTGCTTGATGGTCATGGAACTGAAGGTCATCTTGTTTCAGACTATGTAAAACATCAGCTTGTTGATGAATTTGAGCTCCAAATGAAAGTCACAAATAAGCGCAAACTCTCTGTTCCCAAACACCGTAGGAGAAAAAGTAAAAACGGTAAATTAGGCTCCAAAAATTCTCAAATAATAAGCTCAGCTCCTAAATTAAATTGGAATGTGCCAAAGCCAAAAATGAACAACAATATTATGAACTCTATTGAACTTTTTAACAAGATTACTCCTCTAGATTCTGAGGATGGAGACTCGTGCTTAGACTCAGAATTTAATTCAAGCAATAAAGCCTCAAGAGATTCTAAGAGGAGTAAGAACTTTATTAAAAGTTTAGGAGAAGATATTAGAATCAAGGAAGCATTGAGGCTTGCATTTAATAACACTCATGGAAAAATGAAGCAACAGCAGTTTGATTCTAAACTATCAGGCACTACTTGAGTAACTATCGTCATTCAAGACGACCGTGTTTATATAGCTAATGCAGGTGATAGTAGGGTTGTAGTTGGAAGAAAGAATTCCAGATTATTGTGGGAACCCTATCAGCTTAGCCGGGATCATAAGCCAGATCTTGAAGATGAACATCATAGAATCATCTCTAATAGAGGAAGAGTTTTTCCGTTTAGAGATGAAGAGGGAAATTATCTTGGTCCTCATCGAGTTTGGCATCCAAATTTCCTGTACCCCGGACTTGCGATGAGTAGATCTCTTGGTGATTGAATAGCACATCAATATGGAGTCACTTCAGACCCAGAAATAACTCAATATAAAATGCAAGCCCATGACAAATTCATTATTCTTGCTTCTGATGGAATCTGGGAGTTCATGTCAAATCAAGAGGTAATTGATACCCTCTCAATCGCAATTGATGAGGATGATTATGGCAAAGCTATTGAAGATTTAGTAACTCAAGCACATGAGCAATGGATCGCCAACGATATCTGCATTGACGACATCACTTGAGTAGTCGTGAAGTTGAAGAACTAATGTCTCCCATTAATCAATAATTCAATAAGAAGATAAAATAAAGGGGTTTTGGGGTTTTGGGGTTTTGGGGTTTTGGGG